CCGGCGCGAACACTTTCGATAATCGCGGCTTTTCGGTTATACTCCGCACTTGGTTTCAACATTGCGACTGTTTCGAAATTATGATGGTTTAGTACATGCGTCAAGCTATTTGAATGCCAATCGCGACATGTACCAGTGAACGGGTATTGAACGGAGGGAATTTCAACTTGAAATTTGTCCGGATTTTGGCGACGCACCCTGTATATGCTTTGCATCATCTCGTCCCGATAAAATAAATAAAGCGTGTGTCTCAATAGAAGGACAAAGATTATTATTCACCGCTTTCACTGTATTGCCCAAAAGAGTACGTGAAGGGTTTCGAGAAGACACACACTTTCACTTTAGACACTTTTATTCCCCTTTTTTACAAACAGATTCATTTATTATTCTATGATCCCCTTGTACTATATTATGTTCGTGGCAAAGTTTAAGTATCACGTTCGCGTTTGCGGCGAATGTTTTGGCGCTTGGTGTCGCGTAACTTAATGCCGGTTATCGCGGACGCATAACATGTTGTCAATATGACGATCTTAATTGAACTCCGGACATTTAGACGGCCGAATATAAAGGATTTTCGGTGTCCTATTACATTACGCGATGGCCTACGATCGGATATATATGGTCATGGCGTTAGGTGTACTTTGCCCGTGCGACCTTCGTTCGCGCTTGTCGCGAGGAATTCGTGAGTTTGTAGTTTTGCATTTCCGCTAGCTCATTGCTATGCATGCGTTGCTACGCCAAAATGTAAGGCTTATGTCGTGATAGCATTTTAGGCTATAACAACATAACCGTACTGACAAGGGACATATCACAACTGTCCGGAATCTATTTAATTCTCCTTTAAATATATTGTTAAACACAAAAATTTAAGAGATTTATATGTGCGTATTTTTTTATATGTGCGGAATCTCATGTTTAAGGAATGAAACATCCTTTTAAAGAAAATAATTTTTTTTCATGGCGAATATCATCGAAAGTATAAAAGATAGAAAAAAATGTTTTAAACAAAAGTTGGACGGTTTAAAGAGTACTTTCAAATTGTAAAGAAAAAAAAATTTTTTAATTTTTTATTTAATAAAACACAGGTACCTACAGATTTTTTTAATCAAAAAACCTACAGGTACTACAGATTTTTTTAATCAAAAAAATTTTTTCCACCAAATTGAAGGTTATTTTTTTTCCAATTCAACCGTATACAGTAGAATTAAATTACAAAATATCATTTTCGAGAATTAATTATAAACGTTTCCGTATATACGCGATCTGTGCTCATGTGCGTAATTTTCATGAAAGCAATAAAATATAATATAATAAATAATATTAAGAAATTATAATAAATATGTTTAGAGTTATGATATTTTTTATTATTTTTCCTTAATGATAATAAAACTTATTTTTTATTCAATTCTGTACATTGTTTTTAAATAATATTTTAAGATTACTCTTTTAAAGTTGTTTTCATTCTGCGCTTTTACATCTTATTTATTTGTTGTTAACATAATAATTTCTAAACTTAATAAATTAATTTTTTAATGTTTACATAATAAATTTATATTTTGTATCATTCAGTCATTAATATTATACTCATTATGTTCAAAACCAGCTTAAAATTCGGCACAACACGCAGGTAGCGGCTGATATCTCGCTTCGGAAT